AATGTTTCAGAACGATTAAACACAATAGACACCGACACAGGAATTCGATCTTGCTAAAATTCTCATCGTTCGCAGTTACAGCCGCGTTGTTACTGTTCCAGACAGAAACTATCCTATGCGTTATGATAAACGTTGCCCTATGTATTCCCTTTCTGTAATACGCGCGATATATATTACTACACCTAGATGAGTATTTAGTACTGGTATCCTCCGTTGGCCGCAGCGTCGCCACCACTTCCGGATGGATATCCTCCATTACCGTTGCCACCGTTGTTTCCGTTTCTGTAACCCCCATTGTCACCACCTGGTCTTCCAGATGGATATCCTCCTAAGAATTCGAATATTACGTGTATCTAGCCAGTATTTGCATAAAAATTTGTTGAGAAAAAATGTAAAAAAATTGTATGCCTTTAGTGATACGTGTACGATGGTGTACGTATCGTTAAAATCGTCAAATTGGAAAGGACAGTTCACAGTACTGAAATATTGAATTAGATTCGAAAATAATTTTAAGGAAGAAAAAAAAAACAGTATCTTACTATTAATTAATTAAAATACTTGTAGACATTTGTTTTGTTTACCATCGCTGAAGTCAGGCCCTCCGCCTGGCCTTCCTGACGGATAACCATTGCCTCCAGCTCCACCCCCGTTAGGTCCACCACTTGGATATCCATTATCTCCACCATTGCCTCCTGGTCCGCCAGAACCGTATCCTTGATTATTCGCTTCACCTTCGTATCTAATTTGAGGTTTAAATCCATCTTGATCGGCCTCGTACTCGATGATTTGTTTCCTCCCATCGGGAAGCAGTACATTAAACTCTCCCTGTGCACGATCTCCATCTCTGCTCTCCGTATGGCCGTAATCAGCTCCAGATTGTTCGTCCTTGACTTCATAAGAGAACTCGTACTTCGCTGGTTCCTGAATTGGCATCGAAATAATATATGACAAAATGATACCACCAAATAATTCGTCACGATACGTAACGTATACACACGAATACACACTTACGTTACTTTCATCTTCCCCATTGCTGCCATAACCTCCGTTATTACCATTGTTTCCACCCGGTCCAGAAGGATAGCCGCCGTTGCCGCCGCCATTGCCACCAGGACCACCAGGACCACCAGAAGGATATCCACCATTCCCACCTGGACCTCCAGAAGGATATCCACCGTTTCCACCCGGACCTCCAGATGGGTAGCCACCTCCGTTGCCACCTGGTCCACCTGATGGATAGCCACCTCCGTTGCCACCTGGTCCACCCGATGGGTAGCCACCTCCGTTGCCACCTGGTCCACCCGATGGGTAGCCACCTCCGTTACCACCTGGTCCACCTGACGGATATCCACTACTGCCACCATTGCCACCGTTGTATCCTCCATTTCCACCACCATTGTTTCCATTTCTGCCCGGTGGTCCGTACAGACTCGATGGTCTGCCTCCGTTTCTGTCGGGTGTTCCGTAACTACTCGATGGACTACCCCCGTTTCTGTCAGGTGTTCCGTAACTGCTCGATGGTCTACCTCCGTTCCTGTCAGGTGTTCCATAACTACTCGACGGTCGTCCACCGTTTCCGCCGTTTCCTCCGTTTCTCCCAGGAGGTCCATAGAGACCCGACGGAGGTGCGCCTCCGGTGCCACCGAAACCATTCCCACTTTCTGGCGGGCCGTAGCTACTCGATGGGCTACCGCCAAACCCATTCTTGCCGGCTCCGTTGCTTCCACCACCGAATCCATTTCCTCCACCAGGTGCTCCGTAGCTGCTGGACGGTCTACCAGCTCCTGGACCTCCGTTCCCACCGAGTCCGTTCGACGGTGGCCCGTACGAGCTAGATGGTTGACCACCACCGAAACCGTTCCCTCTGGCATTGCCGTTCCTCCCGCCGTTTGAGCCAGGTCTCCCATTATCACCACCACCATTGTAACCGTTTCCACCGGTAGGCACACCGTAACTATTCGATAAACCATTCCGGCCGCTGTCGCCTCCTCCGATACCATTCTGGCCATCGAAACCAGGTGGGCCGTAAGTGTTGGACGGTCCTCCGCCACCTCCGGGACCACCTCCGCCTGGTGGCAAGTACGAGTTCACCGGCGGCTCGGAGCGCACCAGGGTGAGCGTTACGATGAACAGTGCTAGTCCAATCTGCACAGGTAAGATTTCAACACTTGTACATGCCGTCTAGGCAAAGAGTTACGACACGAATGACAGAAATTGAAGAATTAGTTTCGGGATTTTCAGAAACAGGAGTTTGGCTAGAGTCTCTCTCTCCCTCCCTCTCTCTCTCTCTCTCTTTACCTTGTCGTGTTTTGCATCATTGGAAGATGATGCAAAACTCGCAATTTAACGTAATTTTCCTAACTCTGGATGGGTGTAATAATTGGCGAGCAAGATTTTCCCATTGTCTTTGGACAAGTCGAATTCTACTACACAGAGGCGGCAGAATGAAGTGCTGTCCCGCTTGCGTTAAGCAACTTCGACGCAGCTCGAAACGCAGCCCGGGACATTTTGACATACG